GTCGTCCTCCTCTCTCTCTCTCTCTCTCTCTCTCTCTCTCTCTCTCTCTCTCTCTCTCTTCTTTCCCTCAAGCTCATGCCTCCTCCCCCCACCCATACATACACGCCCACACCCCACCATCCCCCCCTTTCACGCCGGCGCATTCTGGCCGGTGACGGCACATCATAGGCCCGGAGGGGATCGGCCAGGGCTTCGCCATATGTGTGTTGTATAACCAATACAAGCTTTTGCGCGTGTTTCCCAACAGCGGGCTGCATAAACTGCCCACGCCCCCCAAAAGAGGATAAGAGTGTGTTGTGTGTGGGCTGTGCGTACCGTGCGGCTGGCTGCCAGGCAGCCAATACGGTGCAGGTGCAGCCTTCCCAAAAAGGAAATTCTCAACCCGTTCACAGCCAAAAGACAAGCAAGGAAGGACCATGTGCGCAAGGGACGGGAAACAGGTTCTGACCGGTTATGCATTTCCTCCGCATTCCATCTCCCCTCTTGTTCGGCAGGGCTTTCCTTGCTTAGCCTTTCCCTTGGCATCCACACACTTCCATACCCCTTGACGAACATGGCCTGCTAGGTATGGGCTTAAAGTGCCGCAACCCTGCGAGGAAGGCTGCGGTGATAGAAATGCTTCTCCATTTGACGTCGGTGGTCGGATGATGGAAAGGGGAATGATGGGAGGGGAACGAGTGGGACTTGCTGATAGCAAAAAAAAAAGAAAAAAAAAAACAGCCCAAATCCCGTTGCCATCCACGCACCCCACTGCCGAGCCCGTATCGAGCGACCGAACCCGCATCTCCAACAAGGCAAGGACGTCAACAAGATCTGACTCCTCCTTTGTCATGGGTGGATGCTCGATGCTAGTCATTTCCCGGGTCCACCAAGCCATTGGAAACGGGACGAGAGGAGACAGATTTTCTACCTCCCGGATTTAGTTAGTCTGGCGTAATAGCCACTTACTGAAGGTGCGTTTTTTTTTCTCTTCTTTTTTTTTTTTCTGGTTCTCTTTTTTTGTTTGTCAGGTTTGACATGCTCTCCCACACATGCAACTTGTTTTCTGCATATGTAAGTAGATAGAGGTGGGGGACATCTTCGGCTAGCCCAGCTCATATGCAAAGAGTCGACGATCCCAGAGCCGTGCTTCTGCTCTGCCTGTGACCTGCCCTGCGCTAGAAAACGGACGCGGCCTCCCAGCCACCGACGAGAACGCTAGCAGAGGCTTATGTCGTATCTTTACTACATCAAACTCGGACGATGAGACTACGCTAGGCTGGTAAACGTGGTGTCTCACATCAAAGTTGGCAGCCTGTGGCGTGGGTGGTAGGCTACCTAGCTAGCCGCCCACGCACTAGACAAGTACAGTACACCACGTTTAAACGTTCATTATTATCTCGTGTTATGTTCCCTTTCGCCAAAGCGCGGCTCGCAGAGTCGGACATTTTAGGAACTGGCCACTTCTAGCGTGTCGATCGAGAAGTATCGTGAGATAGGTAGGGCTTTCGCCACCGAAGCTTGTTTCCTCCATCTTCGAATGGGCTGCACCATCGCATCACACACACCATGTTCTGGCTTGGGGGGGCAAGCTAGATCTTTGGCGCGGCAAGTGGTCCCTGTTTCCCTATGCACGTCGACCGGGACGGAAATCAAACAACAGATCCAGCACAAGGCAACAGCAACAACAGCGGCAAGCAGCAGTGGCGCCTCTGGATGTGGCGTAATGTCACCAAACAAAAGGGTGGGGACTACCAGCTGGCCTACAGGAGACGTACTGCAAGGCGCTTCGGTTAAGGGGGAGTGTCACCACCGTCAGAATTCTCTGCCCGCTGCTGGTGCTGCTGCTACTGCCGCTAAGGCACTGCCTGCCTCTTCATATGCGGGTTCGCTGCCCAGACCTGCTGCTCCGTTGTCCAAGCCTTGGCTTTTGCCCGGCTCTTGTCCGTCTGGGGAGCTGAGGGCAGGGTGCAGCTTGCCGATGGGCATCTTTTTTTTTTTTTGTGATCTGTGAGTGCGTAGACAAAATTCTCCCTGCTTTTGACACATGTCACGGCGGGACGTGTGGGAAGCAAGGATTTAGGGAATAAGCAAACGACAAGGGGGAGGAGGAGGAGGAGGAGGAGGGGAGAGGGGGCGAGGAACCAACAAGGACAGAAGGCACGCATGCACCCTCCCACCCTCCATCCACCCTTCGTGGAGATCGATCGACTGGGGATCCAAGCTGTCAACGCTACGAGATGACGGACATGATGCGCACGGACTTGTCGGCCGACCTGTCTGCTGGAGCTGTCACCAGGGATGATCCCTGCCTCGCACCGCATCGATGATACCGCGCAATCGACGACGGGGACCAGGGCTCGAGATGAGGGGTTTGCGGGTGGGCTTTATTTGATATTGGTCCCCTGGCGCGCCGGGGTAAGAGGGGTTCGTCGGTTTTATTTGATTGTCTGGCCGAGGTTGCCGGAAATAGCAGGCAAAGCAGCAAGCAGGTCGGCAGACAGGGCAGTCGCCGATGGGGGAGGGAGAACGGTCTAGAGCTGGGCTAATCTTTGGCGTCGAGGAAACCGCCTTGGTGGGAATCCCCTTGTTTGGTCGAGCCATGCTTGCTCTGCCTGCCTGCCCGCCCGCCCGCCTGCCTCGGCGGCGGCCAAGCTCGCCCCATGGCCTCTGTCACCCCACGACGACAACACGCTCCCGAACCGGCGAGCCCTGGGGGACACAAGCCGCATAGGCGTCCGTGCTCGAGCTATCTTCCGCCCGCTACTGTAGCTCAGCCGAGAGGCGCGGGGACAGGGAAGCGACCGAGCTGGGGAGGGGGGGCGTGGAGAGCAAGCAAAATCCGTAACCGTTAGGTATCTGTTTGTTGGTGGTGTTGTTGCTGGTGGATCTCACACCTTGCTACCGCTTTGAGCAAATATTCCCGATCTTCGGGCCGGCGGCCAAGGAGGGACGGCCTCCCACCGGGTGAGGACGAGTGTGGCACATGCTGCTGAGCCACGGCTGCCCCAGCCTCGATGTCTTGGCTGTGGCTTTACAAACTCCGATGAGGCCACGCATCCATAAGGGGGTACCGTACCTACAGATCCAGTTGGTGGACGATGCGCAGCGCTGGCTGCAGGTGGCCTCATCGAGACTATGCCATATGTGGCCGTATCCACCACCTGGTGCCACACCACACTCTCTCCATTCCCATTCTCTACCACCCGCTGCTATCGCCCAAGCCAAGCCGCCGACTCGATATTCACTCAAGTGAGTCCCAGGCTTGACTCAATAGAGGTATGCCCCCTCTTGCCAGACCAGACCTTGGCGGGCGGCGCGCTTAGGTCGGCCTCACAATATGATCTATCACCATCCCCTCATGCACACACACACACACACACACACACACACACGCACCGTTCTTGTGGCTTTCTTGCTGGCCACCCCACGTCACGAAATCACCATGACCCTAACTTTCCGACGCCGGGCTCTTTCCTCCCTGGGGGTGCCACCGATACTACGCAGAGTCCTCTCGCCCGGGCACATATGCAATGCAGGGGACGAGGCAGGCGCAATGGCCGTCACGGCATATACGGGGTCTCGAAGGTGTTCAGCAGATGTCGGAGGTGTCCTGCCCCGACCCGAGGCCGGGCAGTGAGTGGTCTGTCTGGCCACAAATAGCTACCACGTAGGTATCCTATCTGGTGCTTGATGTGTTGCTCTACTAGTACAGCCTGCCCAGCGTCGGTCTGCAGGTCTCACTGTCACTGTGGGTTCCGTCTCTTTGCGTCTGCACAAACCAAGGCACTGAGACAAGGACCTCTCCGTAGGCGCTTCAACATGACAAAACGACAAGAATCCCAGACAAAAGCCGTGACCCCGGGCGGCGCAACGGCGGGCCGGCCGAGTCTAGGAAAGGAAAGAGTGTGAATAACAAAAGTGGAGGGGCTCCATCACTGGAGAAATGCCGCCGAGCTCGGCAGTCCGGGCCTCGGAGGTTTTTTTTTTTTTTCAAAAAAAGACAGCTGGAGCTCTTCCCCACCTCGACTCTTTGCTTTTCTTTTTTGACAGCCACTCTAAATCCACAAAATTCCAAAGGCCGTAGGGTCTTGCAATTGGACCAATGAAACCCCAGGTCGGGGACCGAGCAGCCACTAGTCGAATAACAGACCCGAATAACGGACCCGAAAAGGTGATATGTGTCCAAGCTGAGTCCGCCCACGGCTTCCGGCGCACCCACCGAGACGGAGGAGGGTGGGCAGCAGACGGGAGAGCCGCCCAGCCAGTCCTTTCAGGCCAGTCCTTTCTCTTTCCCAGTCATGATTGGTCAAGTCAAGGACTCTCGTCCTTGCCCACCACCCACACACACAAGGACACACACACACACACCCACACACACACCCAAACCTGGCCTCTGCCCAGTGGCAGGGAGGGGCCTTAGAGGGCCGCGAAAAAAAAAACGTCATTAGCGGGTTCGCGGATGGGGGGTCCAGGAAGACCTGTCAGTGGCTCACTACGGTGACGTTGGTTTGCGTGCTTTGCCAACGCGATTCGATGCAGGAGGGGACCCGGAGGTGCGTGGGACTATCTGACTTGGGTGCTAGGCGCCCACCACCACCTGTCAGTCCTGGTAGGTGTGTGCGTGTGTGTGTCCCTTTCGGTGCGTGTGTGTGTGCGTGCGTGTGTGTGGTCGGAAACTACAGGGCGGACGGAAGAAGGATCTCGATGGGCGGCATGGAATTGGGGGTATCCCAACCTGCTCGCTCCAGCGCCGTCGAGGGGTGAGGGTGTGCTACCCTCTGTGTGCCTGTGTAACCCAAACGGGGTCAATGCAAGGCTCGCGTATATGCCGGCTGATCCAAACATCACATCTTCTATTGACACTGCCATTGCTACCGTCACCACCGCCGCCATCACCAGCTCCGGCGCTACCAACCCATCAAATCCATCAGCTACCATGGTCCGGCCAGACCCAATGCAGGAGCCGGAGAAAAAGTTGGGTTTTGCGTACAAGGGAGCGGAGCAAGCAAAAACAAAAAAAAAAAAAACGCGAGAGCCAGGGACTAGCCCGCTTCTCTTTTGCTGTTTCGTCATCCCCAAGCAGTGCCCGCCCCATCGGTTGGTTGCCCCCCCTCCAGATTGAACGCCAAGGGCAAAAAGAGCCATTGAGTTTGCACATGGCCGAGCATGCGCCGAGCCTGTCCCGTCCTTCCCCTATTCGTGCCTCAACGAGCAAAGTGAGCCTGGCGCGCCTGCACCGGCCGCGTGTGGCCACGACATCCGGCAGAACGGTGGGGTTTGTTTCTTTCTGGCGACGGCATGTGGTGGTAGTGGCGGCAGCGTTGCGGCGCAGCTATCGGTGATGCAGGAAATCCGCTCTTGCTCTCCATGCCATCATGGTCGTCGCCTCTGCCGCTTCCGCTTCCGAGCCAACGACGTCCCGCCAGGTATTGGAAACACACCTGCACCACCTACCTACCTACCTAGGCGCTTACCTGTCTGCCGGTTAGCAACAACCCACTAGGCGCCCCTTTTTTTTCCTCTCCCCAGTTCCCTGCCTACATGCTTGAACGGTAGGTACCTGACTACCGAGCTATACGTGTGCCTAGGGAAGCAGAAGGTAGGCAGGTACCTACGCAGGTAGCTAGCCACCTCTAGGCCATGCAGGCGGGTCTGCCAACGGATCTGTCTTTGACTTTGCCCGCCGCAACCAACGAGGGCGCCCACGCAGACGCAGACAGACACACACACACAGACACACACACACACACACACACACACACACACACACACACACACACACACACACACATACACTACCTAC